AGAAAATCTAATAATAGAATATCTTAAAACGATTGAAGACAATCACAATGAAGGAGAACAAAGGTGGTTCCGCATGTTGATAGAAGACGGCACAACAAATACAACATCAGAACTAGTAGAATTTGGAGTTGGTATAATTATATTGGATTGATTTGTCTCATATTAATTTGTTAATTTTTAGCAATATTGGAGTGAAGTTGATTTTTGTCATTCTTCTTGAATAATTAGAGACTTCTTGAAGAATTTTCTTGTTGCTTCTTATTTCTATGATACAGTTTGATAGGCACCAGTGTAAGATATCCATTATTATATGAAGGAGGTCTCCTAATGAGTGTCCTGGGTTAGTTGGTATTATTTTTGTATTGTTTATGAAGATTTTGTTCTGATGAAGTTGAAAATAGTACAGTTGGCAAAAGCTAATTCTTTAAAGTACTGATATGAGAAAGGAGATGAAAAAGTTGTCAACGAATTGAAGAATATTCTCTTCTTGTTGTAGTGTAATGAACAGTTTGCTTATTATGTTATATAATCGATGTTTGCTTGTGCTGTTAGAATTGGAGACTATTCATAATAAGAATGCTGTGGGGCTTGTAAATAACAATGTACAGAAGCCGGCTGAGTATGATCCTATTGGACAACCATTGCACCTGGACAAATTGTTATTTGAACTAATAGAATAGTATCTTCCTTTAAGGTTTGCCCTTTCATTTATGCTTCGACTTCTCTTGTATATTTTGATAATACAATTTGAATTGTATAAGTATCAGAATAATAAACTGGAGTTTGGTATTGGACTATAAGTTCCATAGAGATTGTTCAGATTGTTGAAATCTTTAAATCATTTGAGTTCTGATCTGCAGTATACTATTTTTGTATGTGATATAAGTTGGAGCCATGAGAGCTTTTCTGTACTATTGTATTTTAAAAGTTGGTTGGTAAATTTGATGTTTAGGACATTTGCTGTGTTGATTGCTGTAGTTTTATTAGAAGATTGCAGGTTTTTAAATAAAAGACCAATAGAGTTTTCTGCATTGTTAAGTTAAGTTGGGCAATCATTTGAACAGATTTTAATTTTAAGATCTTTTGCAACCTTGGCTGTATACGTAATCCAGTTATCCTGATTAAAGCTTTCTAGATTATAAATAGGACAAAACCAGATTGATTCTTTTTTTCTAATTGCTAACATGAAAAGTTTGGATATTAGATTGCCAACCAGTAAAAATCTCTGCCTTTCTTTAAGAAAGGTCATATTGAGGCTGCTGTGGCTGATAAGAATTGCATTTGAGTATTTGGATGTGATTTTGTAAGCTGATTTGATAAGTCTATTGATTTTGAATTGAAGTGTGTTAAAAGTAGACTTGTTAAGATATGATAAGGATAGAAAGTATTCGAATTTGCCTATAATAACCCAATCACAAATCCGTTGTTTGATCTCACCTTTCCAGTTGTTTGGAAAGTTCTCTTAGAATTGTGTCTGTGATATAGTTAAGAACTTTTCTATTAGACTTGAGTAAGTTTTTGGAAGAAATTTGTATTTCCAGGTATTTGATGCTTTTATGGAGTTTGAGAACTTGAATTGGATAATTGTCAAATTTAATTGAGTTACTGAGGCCCTGTTTGATCTTGATGTTGGAGATTATTCTGGTTTTGTCTTTATTGCAAGTGATATTGTTTATTGTGATAAATTGATTAGCTGTTGTGAGAAGATCTTTTATCGATTGTTTGCTATCCGCAATAAAAGCTAAATCATCCATATATGCCAGGGTATTGGGGCAATATAGTTTTGAACTGGCTTGTGGTTGGCTAATCTGGTAACAAGAGAGTCGTAGAATATTATCCAAATGATAAGTAATAGTGTCTCTCTTTGCTCTACTTCATTGTCTATTGTGAAAGGTTCTATTGCCTCGAATGATGTATTGATGAAAACTTTTCTATTGCTAAGAAGATTGATAATTAGATCAGTAATAGTTATAGAACAGTTGATTCTTTCAAAAGATTTTTTTATAGCCAGGATAGGTGCTGAGTTAAAAGCTTTTACTATGTCGAGTGATGCAAACCAGAATTCTTTGTTATTTGTATTAGTTGCATTTATATATAACAAGATATATATTATAAAAGAAACAACATCTCTTATATGAAAATACAATGAGTTAAATGTTAATTTGTCTATAATAATTATATAACTAATATTGAAAAGAAAATTTAAAACAATATATCTTGCCATATGGTACCAAGCAGCTATAAATACTTACTCAGTATTAAGAGAATTGGTGTTTGAAAAAGATAATATTAATTTTTGAATGCATTTGTCATAGTTATAATTATATTGAATAAAAGAATTAATAACAATTGTTGGTATGTCTATGATGATTTCATTTTGGGTAGTATCAGAATGTAAGCTTCCAGTAAAAACAGTGTAGTTTTTTTTTAGTTTGGTTAAGTTGACAGTATTTAGTAGTTCATTTGATTTCTATTTAATACCAGTGAGAGGTGAAGTATTGATAATATTGCATTATAATTTTCAAATTGAATTATATAATTAGATTAGTGATTCTGTTAATACTTTGATCCAGCTGATAATGTTTGTTATAAAGAAGATTCTATCAGTAATACCATATGATAGTTTTATAACTTGTCATATATGAGAAATTAGTTTGAGATTATTGTTTAGATAGAGGATTTGATTAATATTGTTTATAATCTGGTTAGTCTCTTCTAAGGCTTTAGGATATTTGAAGTTGTGTTGAATATCTTTAGTACAAAGTTCAAATCTTTAACAATACCCATTTGGATATTGATTAGGATAATATTGGTGAAGTATTTGACAAATTGATAATGTTTCTAAAAGGAATTTAATTTTAAATGCTATTAGGTTGCTATAGCTGTTGTTGTATGCCTTTTTGATATTTTTATTAAATTGATTAATGATTTTTAAACCATGTAGAATATGACACCATTTGAATTTATTATAAATTTATATGAATAGATTATAATTCATATATTAAATTTATTATAGATCAATACTATTTTGATACTATTTCAATATCAGTTTAATATTTTTTGAAACTTTAGTAGATTCTTTAGTTAACAAATATTATTAAATTTAAGGATTATATAGTTAAGTAAAATACTATCTTAAAATTTTTTAATAGATATTTCAAAGATTTTTTATTGACCTTGATTGTTAAATCTAAAGATATAAATACCAAGTAAAATACAATTTCTATATATTAATAAGTTGTTAAAAGATTTTTTGAAGTTATTATCTATTTATCTTATGGTTAGATTTTTTTAAAAATGTTTTTTAATTTGTATTGTTATGTTGTGTTATAGAATTTGTCATGTTAATTAAAGTTGATAACCATGATTCTATTTATATTGAAGGTCTTATAACCAATAAAATATAATTATTCATTATTGATCTTTTGAAAAGAATTAAACCAATTATAATTTTTTTGAAATAAAATAGTAAAAAATTTATATCTATTAGTTAAAATATCCAAGAATAAGTTTTTGTTAAAAAAACTTATTATCTTTAATGAAAAATAATTATTTATAATATATTAAAAATAATAAAATAGAGTGATATAATAAAAATAAATAATTGTAATTTTAAAAAAAAAAATTTTTTTTTTAAAAAAAAACCATTTAGAGAAATAAATAAAAAAATTTAAGAAAAAAAGAAATAAAATTGCTTTTAAGTCTATAATTATTAAGTATATATAGAGTCTTATAAAAAATAAGATTGGTTGTTCTTTTAATTTTTCATATTCTTATTTTAAACTACTAACATATACAAGAATTGGTTTGCTTATATTTTTCTAAGCAAGAATGTTTTATTAGATATATCAGTCAATTATATGTTTCTTGAAAGATAATGTTCAATAATTAAAAAAGTTTATATAGTGTTAATACATTCAAGACTTGTTTTACTACAGGATTTATTTTGAGTAAAAGAAAAAAAAAATTTTTTTTTGATGAAATAAAAATAAGTGAAAAAAAGTTTTTTTATTTTAATAAATTTATTTTAATAAAATATACTTTAAAAATTAATATATGTTAAAACTAGTAAGTACTATAAGCATGGAAGTGAAGCAAAAAAGATATTAAAAAAACAACTAAGCAATAATTACACAAAAATAACAATTGGTTAGAGAGAAAACAAAAAAAGCAAATAGCATTTAGAAAAAACCAATAATTAATTAATTTGATTAAAAGGAAAACATAATTATTTTTTATACAATAGCAATATTGGCACCTTGGTATATTAACTTTAACAAAACCCTTGGATAAGTCAATAGCAACAAGTCAATATGAAGAAAACTTAATATAATATAACATGCATTTAGAATAGCTTATAGTAATTCTTGTAAAGGAAATACAAATGTAAACTAAATAAAGTATGTTAGGCAAGGCCTCGCTAGTTGAAAAAAATAATTTCTTGTTAAATAAAGTTTACAGTTAAAATTTTTGAAAATTAAAAAAATAAATAATAAAATAAAATTAATCAAAAAAAAATTAATTAAAGAATAAACAATTTTTTATTATAATTTTAAATATTTTTAAATACTATTATTATTTTAATAAAATAAAAAACTTTGTTAATTGAACTCATTAAATTGTACAATCAAGTAAAACAACACCATAGCACCACCATTGTATGTTAGTTAAGTGTTAAAATTCATTTTCGTTTATAAACTTCAATGATAGCGAGTCCATTGCAAATACAGGATGTTTAATACAAGGCGAAGAAAATGATTCTGTTTCACTATTACATGTTATCCTTCGACATTTAGTGTAAATCATAATCCATATTTTTGCAATTAGTAATGGTATCATCATCAGTAATGTAAAAAAGTAAAGGGTTATATATATATATATATACAAAGAAAATAATAGAAATTGTTCGCATATTAATCAAACTGAGATTAATATTGCAGATATAAATATCCAAATAAACCCAATTTTCCTCCGATAATGTCTTTACAAATTTTTAAAATTTATACGCCTACTGGGATTTTGCGTCTCCTTCCCAGTAATGTTGCACCCTCTAAATTTAGCTCAATAGCTACACGCCGAGATTTCTCCTTACTGTTCTTGGAGCCAGATTTCATTTTCACAGGTTCGTTTGGAACTTCACGAGAAGTAACTTGTTCATTTGAAGACGATGATATTTCTTCATCTTCGTCCGAATGATCATCATCATCGTTCATTTGGTGAACAAACTTATTCCTAAACGGGTTTAAGGCACCTAGCTTTCCTCCGCCTAATTTAATTTTTCTTCTTCTTGCTCCTTCTTCTTCCATGCGATGCACAGCATAGCCAACATCAAACACTTCTTTAAGAGAAATTCCTGGTGAAAGCATATCCTTACGGCGTACACCTTCTCCTGGAGTTCCTAATATCTCTTCGAACATAAGAGGAGGCTCGACCACACTTGCCAGTTGATTCGCATCAATCGACCTACTAGTGACTTTATTGATCGATCTATCAACTGGTACCAAAGAGGGTTTTGGATGGAATGGCTAATAATAACACACAAAAATCAAAAATCAATTCATGTAAATAGCAATATTTCAGAATCTTCTTTTTACCTCATCTTTGACCCATGGATGCTCAAAGAATTGCTTAATTGTATATCTTTTATCCGGATCAACAGTGAGAAGGTTTGTAATCAAGTCTTTGGCTGAATAAATAGAAGAAAATATTTAACTTAAATATATACTAAACAGAATTCAACAACGTGGTATGATCGTTGCAACATGATTCTCACCTGACAGAGAGATGTCATCCCACCATGGACTTAAAAACGTATACTGTCCTTTCTCAACCTTCTTAGTTAGTTCTTGAATGCTCTCGTCATAAAACGGTGGGAAACCGCACAACAATGTGTACAAGACGCAGCCGAGTGCCCACATGTCAACACTCTTGCTATAACGTTCATCCTTGACGATTTCGGGAGCAGTATAACCCACCGTTCCACACGGAGTCATTGTCTTTTCGTCCCACACGACCTTGGACAAGCCAAAGTCGGCAATTTTAACTTTACCAATACCACCCCCTCCTACACCAGGGATGAATTCACCCTCGTCTTCTTTGGGTTCATCGTTAGGACCAGGTGGTGGCCGAGGTTCCTTCGAAGGGAATATCGGGATTGGTTCAAAGAGAAGATTTTCAGGTTTTATATCTCTATGATACCATGAAAATTTCAAGATGTTTCAGTAAATCATCAAGAAAGCGTTTCAATTAATTAATTATGAATAAACGTGGAACGAGAAAGTACCTGTGAACAATACCACTTTCTTCATGCAAATATTTTATTCCTTCAGCCACTTGAACAATAACATGTCGCGATAATGGTTCCGAAAAATAGGTAAGCTTCACAATTTGGTTAAACAGTTCACCCCCTTCCATCAACTCGAGGACCAAATAATAATATTCTGATGACTCGGAAAACGATATTAGGGAAATAATCGAAGGATGCTTCAGTTGACGCATTATCTGGACTTCCTTAAGAATATTGGAACGCTACGAATCAAATAAATATATGTTAAACAAATATACCAAAAATTTTTGCGAATTGGCATTCTCGATATCGAATATGAAATTATGATATTTTTTTATCAAGGGGAATAGTTTAACGAACGCCAACGACTTGGCAGTCAACACATAACAATCTATTGTCTGACATCTTTGGAACAATAAAATACCTCGATGACACGAGGTTTCTTTTTCATGTCGCGATGTAAATGTTTCTCCTACAATAACACCAGTCGTTGAAATGTAAAGACGAACGGTTATTATCAAATGACATGAATGAGATTGCACATTTTTGAACTCTTTAACTGACGTAGTTGCGGTATCTCCCATGACCATCTCGTCCATTCGAACGGACTGGATTTCTCGTTGGTTACGGTTAATCGTGTTGTATTCCACATAATCAAAGATACCGCTCTCCTACGCAGCGTCAATAATAATATTTTCAATTTATTCATACCTGTGAATAATTGAGTTCACGCTTTCGCACAACCTTGATGGCAACTTTTTCTTTGGTTTCTGTATCAATTGCTTTGTAGACATTACTAAATGCACCTCTGTGAATTTATTAGAAAGTTAAGTTAATACTTTTTATATAAGAATCCATGTTTCTTTGAGGTGAATAAGAAATTATTCTCAGCACGATTATCTAATAAAAGCTTACATTCGCTATCTCCCTTTTTAGAAGGAAGCGAAGGAAGTGCAAGAAAAAAAAACTCCCTTTTTTTTTTCCTATCCTATGTTCTACTGCACCCCGATTCTTAAAATGCAAATATTGGAGAAACATAGATTTTAACATACTCTCCCATTTTCTCCAATATACGATAACGTTCTAATCCTGGGTATGTAGGTATTTTATTCTTCTGCTCCCTTTCCTCGGCCACTATTTGCGCTACAGCCGTAGCATTGTCCACCTTGCTCTTGACTTCAGGATAAATGCGGTTGTTGTCAGTGGCGTTGGAATCAAAGGTGTTGTTCTCTTGGGAAATTAGTTTTTGGTTTGCTTGCTTGCCATGACGTATAAAATTCCTAAAGTGATCGATCATTGGCATTTTTTCGACTTATTTCTGTATGAGAAAGTTGAAACGGTTTTATAGATTCGGGTCAACTCTTACGTATATATTTGTTTTTTATGATAAAAATATACGTAATGGCTGTGTTTCCGGCCTTCGGCGAATTATTACATACCCGAAATCCGGAGGATGTACCTATCAGAAATGTATACTATAGATCAGTATGTTCAAATACGAATAGAAATCGGTTACACGTCTTACGGAATTGACACCCTCACAATACACGCGTTAAACATTTCCATTATAGTCGGCCTTTGGTTTTACAAAAAAAACTGTACCAAGTTCCGATAAAGTAAGTTTATTCTAAATTTACTTTAAAGTAATGATTTATGCCTATTAATCATATATACATATTTGTTTAATTAATTAGCTTAAAAAAAAATGAATACTTGTTTGCATTCTTGCTAGATTAAACTTTATATACCTATAGATAAAGTTAAACTGTATGATTTGCAATTTACAAAATACAAGTTTAACTTTGTGAACCAGTAATTTATTAATACCGATAATTTAATGCACCGGAGTTTAAAATAAAAAAATTAACTAAATAATTAATGATTAAAATTATTAAAGGTTTTTTTTAACTAGTGAAAAATTAATAGTTGCGATAACAATAAAAAGAGTTAGATATTATGTCAACAATAAAATATTATTTAAAACTTTAGCAATGAAACTATTTATAGTTAGGTTTAAGATGAAACCTAGAGAACAGATTTATCCATACTATTTATTATTATAGTCAGAAATTTTAAGATAAATAATCCTACCAATAAAGATTGTATTGATTTACTGTAATTTGCAATTTCTAATTATATAACTTTTTGGGAAAGCACGAATAAACCTTCGCACAGGACTCAATCGTTACAATATTTTTTACATGTTTGTTGGTTTGCGCATCATTAGGATTGTTAATGGGCGGGTTGGAGTAATTTCTTGATCCAATCCAGGTTCGTCATTAAGGCTGACAGACAGAGATTCACGCGATTGGTTAAATGAAATTCATCGGATTGAAGATCGCAATTTCTTGAGTGACCACGGTCTCATTGGTAGCGATGACAGTTGAAACAATGTCTTCTAGAGCTGGTCGTGGAGGAATTGAACCTCGCATTAATTCTATGATGAGAGAAAGGGAATAATACATTTGAGGATAAATAGCCGAATTTAAGGGCGTCGACTAGTCTGATGACGAAAGAACTGTTTTTGTGGTGGTGGTTGGTTGAACTCGGTGATGATGGGAACTTATTCGTAATATCAACCTTCCCTCTAATGCGAAGATGGCCGTACTAAGGTTAAAACGAAGAAAAGATACCGAAATTGATTGAGATATCTTGAGAATTAAATTTCGTCGATATACTGTATTTAGAAGAAAATTTCCTGTTTTTTTTCTTTATTTTGAAATCGAACAAATTCTTTTGCGAAATCATTCCTAATTTCGCACAATTTACAGTAAACGTTAAGTTTTAAAACTTATTTATTATTATTATTTTCATAGTTACTAAAAATCGCTATATTCTTATAGTTATGTTTAAAAAAAGTGTACAGTTAAGTTTATTTTAATTCGTAATTATAAAGAATGAATGATCGACCAATAAGTAAGAAAATTTCTATTATGCATAATTTAGACAATTAAAAAACATTCAAGTAAAAATTCTTTAAAAAGAGTAATTTCACGAAACTACCAAATACCAATATAAAAAATAGAATAACATCTTAGAAAGTTTCGTGGTGGTTATAAAAAAAAAATTGGTGGAAAGGGAGTTCGTGATAGGAAGACTTATTATGCACTAAAGTCCGTGTCACTCAGGTGAATAGTTTAATCGAAGCATCGTATCATTGAAGCTTACCTGAAACTTTAGTAAGCAGTTGCTCATAGCCCCATCTCAGACTCAACAAAAACATAGCGTAATGAATAAATAACACCTATCTGTTTTTCCATGACGCTCGGTTCGGCAATAGTTTAGGTACTTTTCTCGCGGCGGGAAGACTAGTTCGGTAAAGGTTAAAAATGTGACTTGTCTCACGGTGGGTAAGATTTCGGTTTGGTAAAAGGTTAGGAAGGTGACTTCTCTCGCGATAGGAAAGATTCCAGTTCAACAAAAGGTTAGGAAAGACTTTTTGTGGTGAGTAATTTCGGCTCGGTAAAAGATCAGGAAAGAAACTTCTCGTGGTGGTAAGGAAAAAACAACACGAAATTTTACCACCTATATACGACATTCGGAAAAGTAAGAACGCGTAATACGGACATTTTTATACATGTGAAGGTTTCACTCATGGTAACCCTTACGCCGATGAGAAAATGTGACATAAGAAAAACGTAATCTTTTTCCAATTAAGTTCATATGGAAAAACTTTTTTCATAACCATGTGATTCAGTACTAATAAGATTTTGTTTCCTAGTTTATTGATTTTTTTAATTACGTACTGTAATAATAATATATTATTATTAACTATTTTTTTTTTGAAGTAGATAAATATTATTATTTTATTATTTATATATAAAAAAATAATTATTATTCAGAATATATAATAGTATTAATAATATACAATATATTTTTAATTTTTTTTTTTAAAGTGTTAAAGTGAGGCCTTTCTCATGATTTTATTAATTGAGTATGAGTTTTATCGATACATAATTA